TGGTGAACCTCTGGCTGCAGTTTCAGGTGTTCTGGAATTCTTGTTTTTCTTTTTCTTCTCTTCGGGGGAGACAAGTGCTGTTTCAGCTTTTACAACAAGTAGTTACTCCTGCATCCTATGATCAGGATACCATTAATAATGTCTCTGCCAACAGTTACAACACCATAAAAATACATGCAAATTGTGTGTAAGGTTATTTTTATGGATTTAAAATAAAAAAGGCTCAAGTATGTCAAAATAATTGCAAGCAGTAAAGGTGAGGTTCCAGAAGGAATGACTGCTGATTGAGCTTTAAAAATAAGTCTCCTCAAGGACTAGCAGAGCCATCTAATTCATTTTTTTTATGAGTGCTCACCAGTGCCTAGTTTTCAAACTATAATTCTGGATTTCTATAGCACACTGTGCAGCCTCTGCAGGTGCAAATTCTTTGCCATGTGAGCAATATTTTTTGGTATGGAAGGTCCAAATATAACAGAGGGTTAGATGGGCCTCACTCTTGTTAACAAGAATATGTCTCCACTACAGAAGCTGCCCTGTTTGACTTTGAATATTAACCGAGCACCCCTTTTCTCTCAAACTCGTATTGTGGACTGTTGGCCTACTGGCACGGACAAGGTCAGCTGCGTTAAATATCTGCTGTAGCAAAGTGTGCATCAGCGCGTAAACCAACCCCTTATTAATGGGTAGGGTGACCAGACGTCCCGATTTTATCGGGACTGTCCTGATATTTGCTTGTTTGTCCCGCGTTTGAACATCGGTCGGGACACTGGACAAACAAGCAATTTTGCCCGCCGCACCGGCTCATAGGCGGAGCCTGGAAGGGCTCTCGCCCCCCCCCGGCCCCAACTACACCCCCTTCTTCCCCCATTGGATCCCTCCCCAAATCCCCACCCTGGCCCTGCCCCCAGCCCCACCCCCTCACTGCCCCATTGGATCCCTCCCCAAATCCCCGCCTCTTCCCCAAACAGGCGGCATTCCTCTTCCCTCCCAGGCTTGCACACGGGCCATGGCCGGGGCAGGAGCGCAGCGTGGAGGCTGCTCCAGCCCTGCAGCCCCCAGGGCAGCGTGGTGGGTCCAGGGGCAGCGCAGAGCGGGCAGGGCCCAGGCAGGGGGCAGAGACACACATGGGAAGGACACACTCCTGCCGGGAGGGGCCGGGCCTGGCTCCCTGGTTCGCCCCCTGCCCGGGTGGGTCCCCGAGCTTCCCGCGGCCGGAGAGGGGCTGCCCGGGCGAGTGTCCCAGGCGGGGCAGAGCGGAGCAGCCTCTGCTGCGGGGCCGGTGCGACGGAGCCCGGGAGTGGCTGGGCTGGGAGCTGCAGGAGGGGCCTGGAGCGCGGCTCGGCTGCACAGCTCGGCACCTAGGCTGGGCCCGGGACCAAGGGGATGGGGGATCTGGGGGTGTATCAGGGGTCGGAGCCAAGAGTTGGGTGGAGATAGGGAGGAGGGCGCTTTTTTTTTTTGCTCCGCCCCCATGTCCCGATATTTCATCTTTGTCATCTGGTCACCCTATTAATGGGGGTCAGGAAAAAGCTTTCTCTGGGGGAAGATTACTCCAGGGTTTCTTGGACCTTCCTCTGAAGCAGCTGGTACTGGCCAATGTTGGAGACAGAACTAGACAGACCACTGGCCTGAGCTGATATGACAATTCTTGTGTGCTAGACACAGCCCATGATCACCAGTCTGCAGACACATCAGAGACCAATGATAATATTTCCCTGGTAGAGCAGTGGGAATTAAAAGACACAGCAGTTCATCTGAATCTGGAGGACAGCCATCCTTTCCCACTCCCTTCCCCAACTGTAACTGAGATTTTAAATTGGGGGGGCCAAAATTTGTATATTTAATATGAGTTTGGTCAAAGTAAAATCTTTTTGTAATAAGTATGTGCCCCCAGTAATCCCTTAGCACTCTGTATGTGAATCTGAAACTTAAACAGGAGGAAACCGATATTTAATAATGTTGTACAAAAATACCTTTGGGTGCAAGTGGACAAAAAAATAGGTATGAGTTTGTCTTTAGTTTCCCAAGTCCCCAAGAAACTATTGGGCACAAATTATGGTTAATAAATTATTACTTTATTTTCTAGCAATTTAATGCAAGCAGTTTACAAGGTCTGTGATATACTCCTACCTGTTTAATAGCTGCCAATACAATAGTTCCCATGTTGCTAGGAAACGAGTTCTGCTAAAGAAATATTTTTCTCCTGAGAGACTACAAGGACAAAAGAAAACTCAGACAGAATGGCGTACCAGTTTAATTACTGATATGTCCTCTGTCTGGGGACTATATCCTGCATGATGAGGATGGAAAGGTGGGATGGATTTCATGAACAAATACTGCTTATTATTTGCATTACATTAGCAGCTAGAGACCCTAGCCAAAATCATTGGCCCACAGCTCTGAGTTCGGTGGGTAGCGATCGATCATCGGGGATCGATATATCGCGTCTCGTCTAGATGCGATATATCGATCCCCGAACGCGCTCCTGTCGACTCCGGAACTCCACCAAGGCGAGCGGCAGTAGCGGAGTCGACGGGGGAGCCGCGGCCGTTGATCCCGCACCATGAGGACGGGAGGTAAGTCAAAATAAGATACATCGACTTCAGCTACGCTATTCCCATAGCTGAAGTTGCGTATCTTACATCGACCCCCCCCCCCCCCACGTGTAGACCAGGCCTGACCTCAGGCGCTTACATTCTAAATAGGTGAGACAGACAAAGCGTGGCAGAAAGAGTTAGAACATACAAGCAGAAGATTGGAATTGAGGCACAAAGAGAGAGAATGACTTGTCCAAAGACACACAAAGTCTGTGTGAAAGCTAGGAACAAAACCCAGATCTTCTGAGTCCCAGTCCAGTTCTTTAACACAAGACCATCCTTTCTCAATAGCAGCAATAGATCTTTTCCACTTCTAAGTACTATTTATAATGCCCTTTTCTGTGAAGTGCCATGCCTAACTGCCCCATTTAACTGGTGGTAAAAGGCTATCAACCATAAAGGAACAGTAGGTTCAGCATAAGGATTAATTCCAGAGTTTCCAGCTGAGTTATGAGATAGATAGGAGAGGGATTTGTTGGTTGTCAGTGTCTCTCCAGCACAGGGAATATTGCTTTCCTAAGTGGTGCTGCTTCTTTGCTGGAAAGGAGGGATGAAATTCCTCACGGGGAAAGACACCTGAGTAGCTTTGCTCAGCAGAGCATGCACACATTATTCAATTATACAATTCTGCACTTGAAACTGGCAGGAATAATACTGCCATCTGTATCTCTTGAAACTGGCACTGTGTAAAGAAAACTATAAAAACAGAAGATAAGATGGGAAATGGAAGAAAAATAGCAACACAATATAACCTCGTATGCCCTCAAAATTTTGTAGCATACATCCAGCCAAAGAGACATTAATGTAGTCTTTGAACAGATAGGCACTAAATAATGCTTGAACAGGATATCATCAATGAAATTGTTGATAAACTAATTGAAAGAACTTGTAGGTCAGACTAGAAAAGCAGAGACCACAAGAAGCAGGCTAGGAAACCGCCTCCTGCTGTCATGATGTGGCGGTGCCTCAATTTCTCCTCTGGTCAGTAGTCTTCCTCTCTCATTGGCTGGCCCTTCAGTTAAACCAAAACTCCATCCCTTCAAGGGTAACAAAAGTCCACATAAAAATCTACCTCAAGGCCAAGTCTTTCCCAGTCCTCACCATGTTTACAGCAGGGCTCTCTCTGGGGGTCTATATTCAGCTACCACTTCATTTATTATTTGCATCCTATCTTCCCACATGGTGTGTAACCACACCAAAAAAGAGACACTTATCCTGCCGTGTACATGAGCAATCAAGAACTGAACCACAGAGAACATGAACAGGAAAGTGATGTAGGCTGGAATGTACAGCAGACAGAATGAACAGATGTGAACTCCGTTAAAAGTCCCTATAAAGGAACCTGGGCATTTTCTGGTGTTTTTCCCTCCCATGTGTTTATTTAAAAAAACAAAAAACCCACACATTTAATACAAGACTTAAGTTGGGAATTAAAGGTGGCTTGCAAAATATTGAGTTGGTACCATTTTTTTTGCTTCTCTATGTTTATAAAGACAGCCTGAAAGGGTTTTTTTGGTTTGTTTGGGGTTTTTTTACATAGAACTATCTGGAGTGTCAAGTCTGTTCTTCCCTGGTTTTGCTGGAGGACTTCTTGGGGGTTTCATGAGATGCATATTGTGAGCTCTCCCCTTACCTGAAGTGAGAGGGGTGTTATAGTAATAACAAACATATTATTTCTGCCAAGTGTTAATCAGGCATTTGAATTAACACACTTGAGCAAAAATAAACAGAATGTAGTTTTACATAGTCTGAGTAAAAATCCCTTCCCCACTCAGTTATTCAGCTTTAACTCTCTTCTCTCTTTTGTTGTCATAATTTCAATATATTCAAGCTCAAGTATTTGAAAATCATGAGCCAGCCCCCACCCGCTCAAAATCATAAGACTGCCTTGAAAATCATGAGATTAAAGAAATAATAAATCTTGAGTTCTTTTTATTGGTCTTCTGGTGTCAGAGGGTTTGGGGTTCACATTTTTAATCTTTTCTTCATAGCCTTCATAGGGCTGGAAACTTATTTAGAAAGCAAGCTGAGTTTATCAGGGACTAACCTGATTATTCCAGTAGTCTGAGCGCTAGGAAAAACTCCAACTATCATGATACGCATGATAAAATTGAGCATTTGTAACTGTCAATTAGCCTCCCAGGCAGGGCTAGATTAAAGCATTTTGGGGTTGTAGGCATGCCACAATACAGGGCCTCTGGTGGCTCCACACCAGCTTCGTAGCTCCAGCCCTACTTGGGTTGACAGCGGCAACCCGACTTTCCTGCCCAGAGAGGCAGTGACTTGAGGCTTCCTCCTCCTTGCCAAAAGTGGCAACAGGGCTTCCTTCCCCTCATGAGCATCAGTGGCAGTAGCCTGGATCCCTTTTCCCCTAGGGACAGCAGTGGGATCCCCAGTACTCACCCCAACAGCGAATGTATCTGCTTAGGTGGACATCGGGCCTGCTGCCCTCTCCTCCCACCACACACAGAGTCCTTGGCTGGTGGAGATGGCAGACTCCTCATCTCCCCTGAACATTGTGTCTTGCAGTTTACACGCCTGTGAGGAGCATAAGGCAGTTTAGAGCTATTGTTTTAGGTGTCTGCAGACTTGGGCAGACATCATTGCATGGATTACACTCGGGTCACGCTTTCAAATATTTTTCCACAGCCAAGATGGCTAGCAATTTTTTGTTTTTAACGGGAGAAATGACATTTTGATGTCATCACATGAGTCCAAAAGCTGGGACCCTGAGCACTGGCTTATAATGCCTTATGCCATAATCAGGCCCTATTTCTGATTTTTAAAGTTATATCAAGTAAGCAAAACCAACCCCTTTTTTTTTTAATTATAACACTTCAAGCCTTTTTAATGATGTATAAAAGGCACAACCCTATTTTTTCTCCTGCTGAAGGTGACATTGAAGAACTGGGCAGGGTTTTGTGGGGGGCCACATGACCAAAGGTGGCTTTCTCCTATCATGAAGTTGTTTTATGAAAACAATTAAGAACTGGCTTGTCCTGTACTGAAAATTGAGAGGTTTTACAAAAGGCCCTGTGAGATAAAAGAAAAAGTGTGGAAACTGAATCTGTGCAGATGCAGGGATAGACCTGAGCAGATCCATTTTCAGGATGTGGCACACAGGGGTGGGTGTGTACGTGTGTGTGTACGTGCACAGACATCTCAATTGATCGTGCCAGTATATTTTTTGTTTGTTTGTTTTTTCAAGGAGGTATGCAATACAAAAACAAAACATATTCCAAAATAAAAATATTTTCATTCACTTTTGGATACAGTGATCTGAAATAATGGGAAATTTTTACAGCTGTCATGCAGCTATATTATTTTTGTGTGGTGATAAAATAAAATCATGTCTGCCTTACCTTTGATAACGTTACATAATATTTTCCCCATTTGTGTGCATGAACTTCCAGATTAATTTGCAAGTGTTTATTTACATGATACTTGGATGCTTAAGTCTCTAGTGTAGTATTTGTAGCTCTAATTTGTAAATGCACACCTTATTCCTGAAGCTAGGTAATAACTCACTGAAATATTGCCTCTTTCTTATAGCCTATGTAGCTACATAATAAAGGGACATATTACTAGCAATTAAAGAGCACACTTGTCACTAGTGTGTATGCTGCTGAAAAGCCAAGTATCTAAACAGAGAGTCTGATCACAAAACTATCGGATCTGGCAGACGGCCCTTTTACAGCTTCCTAATTCTGATCCCTATTCAGCAATGCATTTAAGCATGTCCAACTGACTTCAATTGACTTAAAATTAAGCACAAGTTGAGGGAAAACAAATCCCAGATCTCTGCATAAATCTGGTGAAAATGACTATTCCTCAAGGTTCAGCTTGTAAGGGCAAAAACAGTCTCTTGAAATTCAGGCTAAATAGTCTTAAACTTCCCAGAAATGTTATTGCAAGCCTGACATTACTACCTTAAAACACCTTACAACACACTTAACTAGTGTTCTTTCACATAAATAATTCAAGACATACTATTCTGGAGTCTGTAATAAGACATACTACATTCTACTTTTAACACTGAGTGTCCTACAGGCTGCTATTGGATTCTTCAGAAATTCAGTATTCATCCAGTATTTTTTCTGAATTCAAGGTAGTTTTCTTTTGTTACAAGAAGGTATCCACATCTTCATATATACAAACCCACATTGACACAGTTGCTTCATTGGTGACTGGCTGTTTTCTGCTATAAACCAGCTGGAGAGAGACTGGAAGCTCTGTCATGTAGCTCTTAGACTATTTTCTGGCCGTGACTAACTCCAAGTTTTTATCTTACCCTATTCCCAGCTCTCTCTTTACATTTGCAACATGTTCTCAACACTGTTGATTAAAATGTATTTCTTATGAACATAGGGTTTATAATGCTCTTTCAGAGGCAGACAAGTAACACCGTCTCACCTAGACACACTCACTGTCTCTTTGGAAAACACAAGCTTAATATTCTTTTCACCAAGGTTAGTTTATTCTGGGTTTGTGATAAGATTACGGAAGATGTCCCTGAGCACCAGGTGGCCTCCTCTCACATTTCTGCAAATACACTTTAATCACCCCCATCCCTTTGCCAGGTATGACCAGAGAAAAGCCGCCTTCTTCAAGTAGCATGACTGAAGCCAAATTAACCCTTAATTCCCAGTGTGATCAGTTGTTCCTACAAATACATTATGAAACCTTTCAAACATTCTTATTTTATGAAATTATTCCACATTGAACTTGGTCCTGCTCCTAGCAAAGCCAGTAGCTAGTACTGTGGGCTACAGTAAGGGTCTGACCCAAAGCCCACAAAGATCAATAGGAATCTATCTATTGACTTCAATGTGTTTTGGATCAGGCCCTATAGGCATCCTGAGTTCCCTAAATTTTTTGGGTGGCAGGATGTATTTATGCAGCATAGCCCCTTCCACAGTCCCCAGTTCTGTGCCAGCCTATTTCAGGCCCTCCTGGAACTCCTCTTTATGGTATGCTGGGGTTCAGAGGCATCACTTTGCAGAAGGGCAATCACAGAGGGGCAATGTGAGATTCAAGTAGTGCTGAGGGCCTTGTATGGGTCCTCCGTACCTGTGTGAGTTTCAACCTATGGATTTAACAGGTGGATTTAATTAATAATTCATACTCACATAATGTAAAATTATTCATCATACATGACACTGTCGACAGCATCACAGATGTGCTGAGTCTTGCTACCTAAGGAGAAAGATTTGAAATCCAATTTACAGGACTGTAAATGTACATAAAGAGATGCATCCATCACCCCATCTTTTGCATAGCATGGTAAGGATGAAGGCGGTGGAACCTCAAAGCTATTTAGCGTGGAGAGCAGAATTAAAGCATCATAAGCTCTCGCCATCTGATCCCCTGGAAGCCCCTTCCCCAGGAGATAACTGTGTGTGTCTGGCTGTAAGGATGGCATAACATGAAAGCAAAGTTAGAGCCAAAATACCTTTGAGGATCTGGGGCATTGTGCTGAGAGACAATACAATGATGTGTAAAATATCATCACATGGCATCTGAAGCATTTTTGTAGCATGAATTATTTTCCAGGGCTGTGTTGCAAAGTGATGGTTTTATGGGTGACAAAGTGATTTTGGAGCCTACTTAAATGTTCAGCAAATTTCAATGTAATATTAGAATGAGGCTGGAAATACTGAAATAGGTATCAACAGAACTATTCAGATTTCACATTTTGCCCCAAGGATTTCACAGAGGTATATATATGAATCTAACAGACCCACAATGAGCAATACATCTGTATTTTCATATTGAGAACATGGAAACATTTTCCACATCCAATTGAGTTTGACCCATTTTCCTAAAAATAATCATGCAAAATATGTGAAACAAACAGGGAGTGGGGGAAAACACATTAATGTAAAATATCTTTGTATGTCATTATGAATATTTTACACTATTGTAGTGGCAATCTGCCAGTCTAATATGAAACTATTTTATATTATGGACATTGAAAATTATGTCAGTGATACTGTCTCTAAAAGAAAAACAGCGAAAGGGAGCTAAAACTCTTTCATTCCAGCTTTGAATAGATTCATAGATTCCAAGGCCAGAAGGGACCATTGTGATAGTCTGACCTCCTGTAAAACACATGCCATAGAAATCCCCCAAAACAATTCTTTTGAACTAGAGTATATCTGTAGAAGGGGGCGGAATATAATCCTGATTCAAAAATTGCCAGTGATGGAGAATCTACCACAAACCCTTGGTAGATTGTTCCAATGGTTAATTACTGTCACTGTTAAAAATTTACACCTTATTTCCAGTTTGAATTTGTCTAGCTTCAACTTCCAGTCATTGAATCTTGTTATAACTTTCTCTGCTAGGTTGAAGAGCCCATTATCAAATATTTGTTCCTGCTATAAGTACTTGTAGACTGTGTTCAAGTTATCCCTAAACCTTCTCTTTGTTAAGATAAATAGATTGAGCTTCTCGGGTCTATCACTATAAGGCATGTTTTCCAATAGTCATTCTCGTGGCTCTTCTTTGAATTATCAACATCCTTTTTGAATTGTGGGCACCAGAATCGGACATAACATTCCAACTGTGGTGGCACCAGGGCCCAATACAGAGGTAATACTCACTCTACTCCTACTCGAGATTCCCCTGCTCATGCATCTAAGGGTTGAATTAGCCCTTTTGGCTAGTGTCTCCTGAACAGATGAGCTTTACCCTTACTGTAGAGAGTTCCACTGTGCCAGAAGCATGATATTGTCAACCACAGTCTTCCTCCTGGAGTAAGCTCTCTGGGGCAGGGACCATCTTTTTGTTCTGTGTTTATGCAGTGCCTAGCACAATGGGGCCCAGATCCATAACTGGGGCTCCGAGGCACTCCTGCAATCCAAATAATAATATGCTGAGGCCAGGTGACTGAGTGCACTTCAAGCAGTGGCACTAGAACATTTTTATTAGTGGGGGTGCTGAAAGCCAGCCAGCCCCCTTACCAGGGCTTTGGAAGGGAGCCCGGAACTGGAGTGCAGACCAGTAGGTTTTATGCTTGGAGCTGGAGCAATTCAAAATTTTGTTTGCTCCAAATCCCTGCTTACCACCACCACCACCATCCTCAGCTGAGGACTGGAGCAAAGCCCCAGGATGGGGGGCAAGCAGCACCCCACAGCACCGCTAGTTTCCATACCTATGACTTCAGGATGAGGCTCGAGACCCACCAGTAACGGGGCATGCCAGTCACAGTGGTGGCAACAGCTCTTGAGCTGACTCAGGGAAGGGTGAGGAACGGGCCCTGGGCTTAGATGGATTCTGATCCATCCCCAGCAACCATGTGTCCCCAAGGCTGGGTCACAGCACCCTCGTAGGCTAGGCCATGTAACCTCTTCCCCCCGCCAAGGACTAAGCACCCCCACCCACACACCCTACTGGCTGGGCCGGGCCATGCCCCAGTGCCCCCATGGGCTGGACCATGCAGCGCCCGGAGAACCCCCCCATTTAACTGTGCCTCGCTCTCAGGGGCCTGCCCTGCAGCAGGGGCTGGGGACGCAGCTCCCCCCAGCCTGGCAAAGGAGCCGGGAGCCGCCCCTCTGCAAGGATCGCAGGGCTGGGCAGCCCCAGCCGCTGCTCAGGTCGCTGCAGCCGCTGCCCGCTCGGCCCTTCGGGCGTTCCCGGACACGCTCGGCGGGCACTGGCTGGCTGGGAGAAGGATTCCGGGGAGCACGCGCGCGCGCACTCGGCTCAAGGGAGCGTGTCCCCAGGGGAGGAGGCGTGGCTTGGGCTCTCCCCACCGCCCCCTCCTATCTACCTTGTGGCGCGCGCGCGCGCGCGCGCGCCTCCCTGAGCGTTCCAGCGCCCGGCCGCCTCCCTGCTGCCCGACGTGCGCGCAGGCTGCAGCTGCAGCAGCTGGAGGCAGGGGCGGGGGGAGCAATTGGGCTCTGTGCTGCTGCAACAGGTCAGGGAGGAGCGGAGCAGAGCAGCATCCTCATTCTCCCCTCCCCCTGCAAGGAAGGGAGTGCTCAGAAGAAGACCCTGCCCCAGCCCTTCCCCCGAGGGAGCTCGCATCGATTTGGCAGAGGTGAGAGACCTTGGGTCCGTAGGATGGATGTTGGAGAGAGAGAGCCCCCTAGAGCTCCCCTGCCCCCCGCCCCGAAGGCAGTGAGGGGGTGTTTGCAGCAGTGCCCGGGGAGAGAAGGAAGCGGGCAGTTACCAGGGGAGGTTGTTGGGAAACTTTTCTCCCTTGTTTCCTGCGTTGGGTTTTCCAGCCTTCAGGGCTAGGCGCTCACACTTTCCCATGGCCAGGGGGGCTTTGGGTAACGTTGGGAGCGGGGAGGGCTTTGCTTTATAAACAAATGCAGCAAGAGCGTGTGAGTGTGAAAGCACAGCTGCCAGTCGCTGTATTTAATGATCTTGTGACTTTAAAAAAAATTGTCCGGAGTAAGGGGGAGGGGCTGAACTCCTGATGGGGATATGAGAAGGGTCTGTTGACATTGACTGCAAAATTTCATTGTCTCAATTAGCTTTGCACAGGACATATCACTTCCACTTGTGTAAAATGTATTCCTTCTTAAAGTCGGCTTAACAGCCACCAAGTATTGAGTTTTGCAGTTCAACAATAAAGGGTTATAAAAATCTGTATAATTTCAGCTCTTGCCTTCTGGGTGGTGAGTCATTTTCCAGCAATTGTCTCTTTTTTTTTTTCTTTCTTCAAGCTGTGATTTTCTCCCCTCTTTTGTGTTTCCACATAAAACGCAGCATTGACCTAAGTATCTACTATTTTGCTCAAAAGTCATCTGTATTTAGTATGGTTTTTGAGACTTGTTCATAGGAAAATGATATGCTATACATATCCACTCTAATCGTTTTAATGATATAATTATTATTGGTGTTTATTATTTTATTTGAACTGACAGGTTATATTGTTGTTGGTTTATAATGGAAACATTATGAGGAAACATTATAACGAAAACATGAACTATAGGTAAACAAAAATTCAACACTGAGCAATTCTGAAACCTGAGGATATGTTTGTCCACCAGAGGTCACCCTTTTAACCCAAGGGGCAAGCTTCTAGCTCTACTGAGGCATGTTCTTCCCTCCAGGCCTGCAAACTGCTCCACTCTGAGTAACTATGTAAGCAGTCCCACTGAGATACTCATCCATTTAAATGTCTGCAGGGTTGGGGCCTAAAGCCATCTCTACCCTACCATTTATGTCGGCGAAATTTATGTCACTCAGGGGTGTGAAAAAAACACCCCTGAGCGATATAATTTTGTAGGCGTGTTTGTGTGCACAGCAGTATGTCAGCGGGAGAGCTTCTCCTCCTGACATAGCTACCGCTGCTCATTGAGGTGATTTTATTATGTCACAGGGAGACCTCTCTCCCGTCAGTATGGAGTTGCTACACGAGTCATCTTACAGTGGTGCTGCTGCATTGGTACAGGTGTGTCACTGTAAGCTCGCCAGTGTAGACATGGCCTCAATAGTTAACCCCTAAAGCATCCATCTCCCTTTAACATAATGCAATGGCTCACATTTTAAATGAATTAAAAAAAAAATTAAAACAAACCAGGAAGGACTATGCATGTGAACTGCTCTAATCCTGTGGCTCTTCAAAGCAATGGATGACCTCATTTTATTTAAATAGCATTACTAATAAAGGATCAAATTCTGTTCTTGAATAACAATAGGTTAAGCTGAAAAGAGCTCCAGTCTTAAATTTCAAAAAGTAATAGAAGCTTCTATAACAAGCAAGCTCTATATATCCTTTAGGGCTAACCCAGGCTAAATGCTGGGGATCTTTTGCTTATGCTTAGTAGTCTTTGTTCCTTACAGTCAAAGCAGCATAAAGATACAGTTCCTCCTTGCTATTCTCCTCCCCCCCCCCCCCCCCGCCCTGTGAGCTAAAAACTTAGCTGATGGGAGGAATTAACTTGCAAGACTCTTCTTCATGGGGTAGGAAGAGTAAACAACAAAGTCTTTAGTCCTCTTTTTGGTGTTCCACTCTCATCTGTCTGGTGTTGATGGGCCTTCCTTGTTGGCCAGGATGTGACACCTTCTGTTGGAGATCAGCACTTGATGCTAGTTAATGTCTCTCTCCTGTCCGGTGATTTACACGGAGTGTCCTACAATGCAAACACTCAAATTTTACCTTCTAATATGGGATACAGATGTTATAAGTGAGATTAATGCATGCAGCAACTTACAGGCATTCCATAAAGTCAATATATAATTCTAATACCTATTTTAACAATAACACACA